AGAGCAGATAATTGTACGGGCAATATTCGACGCTCCAATTTTCTTTGGGGCATCGAGGGTTAAGAGAACAGTGCAAGGTAAAGAGACATACTCGTATTAAGGTCGGAAGTCGTAGAAATGTTACGAAGAAGCCTGCAGCCTACGCTAAACGCGATCGCTACCTAACAATTACGTCATATCGATGTGGACGCATCGTGATGCTATAATACGTGATGTTCGAGAAGAATCATGTGTTATATCGTTAAAAAATAACGTTTGAAGCAATTACAATTAAAGGATTTCGAAATTTTCAAACGCATCTTATTTTAGCGAATTAAATGCGACGCTAAACATTGCGTGGTCAAAAGCGTTTTACGCAAAACGGCTGAAAAGCGTGTTTCACGCTGCCGTGACCGTGAACGTGGGAAACATTTTTGCGTGGTCATCCGAAAGGCGTTCGCCAAAAACTGAAAGTGATTTCAAACTGGATCGTTAGACCGGTCCTAGGAGCAACGCGTTATTTTCCTTCAGTCACGAGATACCACTTGATCGGTCCATTAACATTCTGCGAATAACGTAGCCCGCCAGCCAGATTTGCATAAAGTTCCGCAGATCCCTGACGCCAGGATCGTGTACCGAAATAAACGGCGATAAGCATAGACACGTTAATGACCATTTTACTGATTTAGTAACCCGAGATCTTATATACAGCGCGCTTATTCCGCTTGGACAAACGCCGTATTGCCATTTTATTCGATAAATTCGCCGGAGATCACGTCCGCTGATTCGTTTCTTGAACGCTGTTTACCGGTTTCTCGTGTAAGATGCTGAATTGCATTTGTTACAGTTGAGTAGGAAATTTTCATTGATATATAAGTATACTCGTATACAATTATAATTTTACATATTTCTCACAAATAGATTTAATATCGCCAGCAGTTTAAAAACCAATGATATGTAATTTTTTAAAACGATCTACACTGGCCAATGTTTTTATTGAAAAAAAAAAAACATTTCCGTCTCAGATTTGGACCCTTTTCAAGTAATCTGCAAACATACATAACTCGGTACTAAAATTTTTTTATCCTCCTTGTATAAAAAAAGGCGTATTAAGTCGATAGTCGAAAGTTTCGAAGTATTGTCGCTTGTCCGAGATGCTGACTGGCTGCCTCGCTTGTGCGATACGACATGCTTCAGTCGTGTTATTTGCATCTGTCAAACCATGTGAATTTTTAGAGAGAACAAATGGCGCTTGTGTTGTCTAGTATATAAAAAAAAGAAAGTAAACCATAAATCTATACCTGTTCACACAAATGTTAATAATCTCATATCGTTCGTTTGGCCAATGTCGTTATGTTAGTAAGCTATGTACAAGCAAGAGTCATTACACGATATGTTATTACGAATTAATAAATATCAAGAATAAATAAAGATAAATAAGAATAAATTTACATATTTCCGACAAATTCTTAAGCTTGTAGACGCATTTCTGCATTGCCCAAATTTTTGGGTGTCTTTCTAAAATAGATTGATATCAATTAATATTGAATAATTGTAATAGTTTCAATGACAGCTGAAGGTAATTATTTGCTCCGCTTCGTGGATCGCGAAAAGCACGCGCGGTGAATAATGCCATCGTCAACGTAATTGAATTTTACGAAATAATTTTTATCTCTTGTATCTAACATGTGATTTGACACGCGACTCTTTTCGCACGTACAATACGAGAAGACAAACACTGCGTAAAAGCCCCAGAAAAGATATTGTGTAATTCTACACGATTCTGTGAAACGCGTACTTCACATATTTTTCGATAGAGATAATATGGTCTCCGCGAAACAGCTCGTCGTCTTGGGACGTCACGCATAATTTTGCAAGACTGAAGAACCTGTTTCTGCTGATCGTATAATAATAGGTAGATGGGCAAAAGAAAGAATCAAACGTAGTAAACGAACAAAATATATAAATATATTACGTTGCACCAATCCATGTTATTAAATTATAATAATTTCACACCTTAATTGGTTTTATGATTTTTTTGTGTTTCTGTCGTGCATTTCTTTGATGAATGAAACCGAGATGTCATATCGCCGTATTAAAGCAGTCTTACAAGAATTATTATCTACAACGTCAAAGAAATAAAATTCTCAGGTATTGTCGATAAATGGCACAGCATGTTAATCGTTCACCGAACTGATTTCGATTAAAATATCGATTCATCGTCGTCGGAATTCGGGCACATCGATAGATAACAATCACGATGTACTTGATAAAACGGGAACAACGAATTCCGAAAGTATTCTTTCAACTCCCGAGAGAATTACGATTAACGGAAGATAATAGTTACCGCGATTTTACTGCGTTCGAATATTCGATTCCCGGGTGAAAATGTCCGTGCGTGGCAGAAGGCTGTTCCGCTGCGTTGCGAATACGTGCGCTATCAAGATATGCTTTTAATGCCTCGCGCTTACCTTCGATAGCGTCGCTTCATAATGCACCGGGCACAGTCCTTATTAGCAACATTAGCGTGCTCGTCGGTGATAAGGCGCCGCATGCCGATGCAGATAACAAGCTTGAAGCCGGTCGCTTTAAGCCGCGAGATCCGCGCCGCTCGACAATCGGCTCTTTAGGCGTGTTTGCGAGCTCGCGGCGCAAAACGCGATTCGCCCACGCGCTTGAATTTCAAATGCACGTCCCCCGCAAAGCGGGTATTATGTCGGGCCGGTGTCCCCGAGACGTGTCGCCGTTGTGCGTGCGCTGAGAAGACGCATCAGTCTCGCCAGGTGAATTCTAGCTCCGGGTCGCGAACACTCGCTAACGCTATCGATACAAGTCCGGACCCCGGGTGTACTCGCGAAAGACGATTTGTTATCTCTGACGTGCGTCTCTCGACACTCTGAGGAGTATCGAGGATCACGCGCGAAAGCTTAGATAACGCTTCGCCGAACGGAATTGGAATGCGAGACGCGCGCGATATATTTGTGCAAACAAATGTGTTGCGTGATTCGAAAAAAAAGAGACGTAACCGAGAACCGTCGAGTCGATACGATCGGATTGATTTGTGCAGGAGAAATTCGATACAAAGGAATTTCTAATTGCAATTTATTTGTCGAACCAATGGTCGCACAAGGTAATGTGGAAATTGATAACGGCGTGAAAAATATTGCCCAAAAAATGAAGTGATGCTCGGCGGTTTAATTTCTCTCCCAGGTGATTTATCGCGAATAAATCACGCTGATGCACGATTTCGCAATGAAGCAAGTAGATTCACCGAAACGAGGCTGCTCAGCGTAAAATTTTAATTAAAGCTAATACCGAGGTCTGATAATTACGCGCTAAGCTAACGGACCAGAAGCCCCGAGCGTCGCGACCATGCGGTACGACACGTGAAAGGGTTAAACGTGAAAGAGGTTAATGGATGCGCGATCGCGAACATCTCGCAACGTGCCATCCCCGTGCATAAATTCAAGTGCACATTCTGAGCCGGTTGGCGGAGAGCAGCGCGCGCGCGCGCGTTCGTGTTAAAGCGGCGAGGCGAACGCTCGCGCGTCCGTCACTCGCGCCAGGTAGAGGATTCCCGCTCCGGGAGTAGAGACACTCGCCAACGCAAATACCCGAGGGAGCTTTGCGCAACACAGGCGAGATCGACTCGCATCTAAATACCACGTCGACGCGCCCGTGTGGGTGCATCTTGATGGAGGGCGCGGGGGGGCGCGGGGAGCGCATCTCCGCGCGATTGTTCGCGCGATTTATTCACACGTGGAAGGCGTACCGCGCGCGGACACACCACCTACCCCCGAGGCGGGCCGCCGGAAATAATGCATCGCGATTTGCATCCATTCAACGGCCGAGGCAGATTCGAGACGGACGCGGCGAGCGCGGCGGGACAGTTCCGCGTCTCCTCGAGCCGCGAAGAATAAAACGGTTGTTGAAAATTGTGCGCGGTCAGCCACTCTCGCGTGAAACACGCTCGACCGCGAAAGCGTCGCCGCGCTTGCACACACATAGGCGACGATATTTCATCGTCGGACCAGTCGCTCCAACGCTTGTCCCGTAAAAATCCGCCATTTTCTTTTTATCCGAAACCGGCGAGCGTTTCCGGGTTACTCGCTGCGGATTATTATAAATTACGAACTGGTAAAACGGGTTTTCCGAGCACTCGCATCCGTAATTCCCCAATAATTACCACCTGTTACGTGGGACCGCGGAAAAATTATATATCAATGTATCGAGGACACGTGATGTGTTACGAGAATTTTACTTTGCCAGAACGGTTGAGTTATTAGGCTGTTTGTAGCATCGATTACCGGAAATATATATTTCTACTAAAGAATATCAAATCTAATTACATGTAAGAATAAATTAAGTAAAGGAAACTGACCGATGTCAACCCAACAATCTGCAGATCAAAAACTGACGACAATTCTGACGCGTGTTTTCTGTACAGTGCCATTCGTCACTCTATCTACTTGTCCGCGCCAATGATAGGCAGAGTCCGTAAGCCTTTGCGACTAAAGGGAACATTTTCATTGCAGACGACTCGAAATTAAGGGGATGCTGGAGTGATTCTGCACTTTTGCACCTTTCTAACCTAAAAACTGTCAGTTCGCGGAAACATTTGTATAATATACAAATTAAATAGCTTACGTGTACAGATCGAAAGCAGCTCGCTATTCCGGCCAAATGAAAGAACAATATGGCATCACTGAAACTAAGTTTATAAGTCTAATAAGAAATAATAGTGAGCAACACATACATACAGTACATGTAGTATGTGTGTTGCTCACTATTATTTTTTATTAGACTTACAAACTTAGTTTCAGTGATGTCATATTGTTCTTTAATTCAGCCGGAATAGCAAGCTGCTTTCGATCATCTGTACACGTGCCATTTATTATGTGTATTACACAAATCTTTCCACGAAACAGACAGTTTTAAGTGCAAAAGGTGCGAAAGTGCAGAATCACTCCAGCATCCCCTTAACAGCTTCTCGATTCGAATGTCTTAAAAAACAAACTCACATTCAATCTGGGCACCGAGGCCGACCTGCCGTTGATTCTCCTGCGTCTCAGAATCCTCGCGCGCTCGCGGTCTCTCCTGGTGCACCTGCCGTCCTGCCGGGGCACCAGGCCGATCTGGGGCGCGTCCTCGAGGGATCGCACCCCGAGCAGAACGCAACCCTCGTCCTCGCGAACGCCCGCCACGGTGCTGCCGCAATTCCGCATTCCATCGGCACTCGCGTCGCTCGTTATCGCGCACTGCGACAGGTCCTCGGTGGACCTCGAGGACGCCCTCGAGCCGAGCCGATGCCTTTTCCGTTCGATGACGAAGGACGAGGCTCTCGCGCGCCGTGCGAGACCGACCTGCGGCGCGACGGTCCGCCTGGCGATCAACTGCTCCGTTTTCGTCGCGAATTCCTGCGGCCTGCTGGACCGTAATTCGATCTTCGGACGATATCTGACCGCCTGAGCGCAGTCGGTGACGTCGCAACTCGACGGTGGCGATTCACCTCGCTCCAAGGATGAATTCCCCAGGCGAGCGTGCTCTTTGGTATCCTTCGCCGTCTCGTCGCTTTGGTTCCTCGAGGATTCGTCCGCGGGGATCTGCTCGCCGGTCCCCGGCGCGGAGGCGCTTCTCCTCAGTACGCGTCTTCGCACTATCTCGTTGCTGGAGGACGCTTGAATGGAACGCGTCAACGTGTCGCGATACTGCGGATTCACCACCGTCGTGTGGCCGTCCTCCTCCTCCACGGTGTTTCCGACAATCTCGCCCGCAACCTCGGACGTCGCCCCGACAAGCTCTCGACTCAAGATGAAACTCGCGCTTCTTCGCGAACCCTTGAACGCGCGCGCGTCGTGGACGATTCGCGAGGGACCCTTGCAGGACTGATTTTTGCGAAACTCCCGCGGCTTCTCCGGCGATTCGAAGGCAGGGTCGACCTTCCCTTGGATGCCCGATGGCACGACGCGCCTGTCGACCTCCAGCGTGGTCGCGCCGTCGCCGCCCTCGCGACGCTCCACGTCGTCGTCGTCGTCGCCGTCGTCGGCTCGTCGCTTCTCGGACGACGTCCCGCACGCCTCGTCGACGTCGCCGCACTGACGTACGGAGATCAGACGGCAGCCGCCGTCGTCCCCACTATCCTCCTCGCTGATATACATCCGAAATAACTAGGCGTCGCACGTCATCGTCGCGCTGCGCCGCGACGTTTTACCACGAAACCGACTTCCTTCCCGCGCTCGGGAAAATCGCCGATTCCTCGGGGTCTCGCATGTTTTATCTCTCCCTTCCTCGGAAACGGGCAGGTGCACGGAGAGCGCCCGCGACTTGCCAAATTATATCCGCGCGCCGTTTCGCGGGAAACCCGTCTGCGGGGGTCCACGTAGACTTGAATGAGCGCGCGGCCGCGAGATGTCTGCGACAATTATTATTTATGGCGGATTTTCAGGAAACTCTTATGCGGCGCTTTTCCTTGATCCCCGGTACAAGCCTCGAACGTCAGAGTTGGACAGCACGCGCCGGTCGGCTATTAATTAACGTCCCGGCGTGGCGTCCCGCGTCGGTCCAACGTTTGAGCGATCTTCCGTATAATTAGCCGGGATGAAAGCAATTTTCCTTTCAATGTCATTTCTATTACTGTCGTAACTCAGTCGTCTTTTTTTACATGAGCGATGTACAGGCTGATTCAGGGGTCTCCGCGACTAGATTGCAAAAATAATTAGCACCTTTTCCAGCGCGTGATATATGTTATCCTAAACACCACCGTTAACATCTCGATCAAGGCACCATCCACGAGTCGTGATTAAAGGAATTATATTATCACGGAGGGCCGAGTATATCCTGGTTATTCAGCTTTTATTGCGAATCGAGAATCTCGCAGCGTCCTCGAGCTTTCTTTTTGAAATATATATCCACTCTGAATATTGGAAACGTCGTTATACCTCGTGGACACATCTGGAATAACATCCTGTATGCGATCGAATGTGAATTCCCACTGGTATTCATGCCACGTCGAGCTGTGCGCCAGAAAGGGAACACAAGTGCCTTTTCAATGGTAAATCATACGACAATAGTCTCCGCTCTTTACGATTAGTGGACGAGCATTCAACGGAAATAAAATTTCTCGCGATAAGACAAAAGCCTTGAGACCTCTTCGAAATGAAAGGTCCAAAGAAACGCGTTGCAAATTGTGTTCCTCAGCAAAAATTTAGCGTACTTCGTATCTCGTGGGCTTTTCACTCCGGGAGTTTCGCTTTCCGCGAAATTGAAGAGGAACAATTTCGACCAGCACAATGGGGAAAAGAATTTTATCGACTCCGTTGCAAGGCAATTTACCTTTGCGAAAACTTAATGTCACGCGATCTTCGACCATGAGCTTCGAAGCGATCGAGGGAGACGGCGCGTGCTGCGTCGTAATTACATTACCGTAATTAGCGCTCGTTATATCACCCAAGGCGTTCAGCGCAGAATCGGAGCGCGCAAACGAATTGTTACGTTGTGCGCGCGGTGTTGAATTCGTCGGAGAAAAATCTTGATAAGAAGTAAGCCTCAGGGACGACAGTTCAAGTTAGCACTCGCGCGAGAGCCTCGAGCGAAGCATTTCACATATTATCAATTGTAATGTCGCTTCTTTCTCTCTCTCTCTTATTTTTTATGCCTTCTTATTCGAGACAAATCAACACGTCCTCGGTGGAGAAAGTACCACCCTATTTCTCGCGCACCGAGGGAATTCCCTGTGGTCTCTCCTTTTTTTTTCCCTCGGTTTTCACTTGGATCGATCACCAACGATGAGCGGCGACTTAGCGTAGGTCGGACACGCGCGAGCAGAAAAAGAGACGCACAGGCGTCGAGCGCCGTTGGCCTACTGCGCCGGCACCTAATCCCATACAGCCGGCGCGGTGTGCGCGATACGGCACGCCGCGTGCACACACACACACACGTGCGGCGCGGCGCTATCGGACACGTGTATACACGCGGATACACACGCGCGAGAGAGCTTCCATTCCGCCATTCCATTCGAGCCGCGCGCCTCGCGTCTAAACTCTCACCGGTGCTCTCGGATCTCCTCGCCACCGCGCGCGCGCCACGCCGCGACGGTCTCATGCCTCCTTTCGTGCCACGGTGCGTGTACACACGCGTGCTCGTGTGTCGAGGCCCGCCGCTAACGTCCTCCAATCGGCAGGGAACCGATTGCCCGCCACTCGCGGCCTGGAATGCCTTTTCCTTTCGGAAACCACGTCGGATCGCGGACCGGTTACGACCGCGATACCGCACACGCGCGGCCGGGATTATTGGGAATTATCGAAAATTGATACTAGACCGGGGAGAGGCCCGGGAAAGAGCCGGGCGGGGCACCGAAGGTGCTGATAATGCGGGGGAGTCGGGCGAAGGTATTATTTGCCGAGACGATATTCTTAGGAAACAGCGTTTAGAGAAACCACGCCAACGGCACGACTTTGGATCACGATCGGCTTGGAAATTTTCAATTCGATTTTCCATTAAATTATCGTCCCTCCCAGTGATGCTGCGACGTGACAGCCAAAAGAATACGTTCATTCTTTTGATAAAATTTTGTTGAACTCTTATAAGTCACATAGGAAATATTAAGATTTTTATGTAATATTTTTAATTTTGTTCTCCCTTTTCATATAAAAATTCCGTTTGCGTCATTTTTTGGATAAAATTTTGTTCAACTCTTATGTGTCACATAGGAAATATTAATATTTTTATGTAATATTTTAAATTTTGTTCTCTTTTCATATAAAAATTCTGTATGGGTTATTCTTTTGATAAAATTTTTTATGTAATATTTTTAATTTTGTTCTCTTTTCATATAAAAATCATATAAAAATTCCATTTGGATTATTCTTCTGATAAAATTTTGTTGCACTTGTATGACTCACATGGAAAATATTAGTATTTTATTATTTTTAATTTTGTTCTCTCTTTTCATATAAAAATTCATAAAAATGAATTAAATGCTAGCCACATCTAGTTTCTAATTTTCTGCAATATATCCCACTTTAATTTCAAATCACATTTAAGAGAACCGTAAAAAACGTACGCTATATTCATAATAATATTTCTCTAATTGTCTTATAATTGTGGTTCTTATGTTTGTTTTGCACATAAACGTGCGGTCAGACTTGAATATCGAAGAAAGCAGCCCGCATGGTTCATTAATGGACGCAGTTTGCCTTTGCGAAAACATTATCGGACCTGCGCATGTCGCTTTCCGTCCGGTGTACGGTTTCACTTTGAGGTGAGGCCCATTGGTGTAGACCGTCATCATTGGACCGTCACCTAGGCATTAGATTTTTCTTCTTGGTTAACCGCACATCAAAGGGAGACGATAGCGCGCTAATGCTTCCTCATACAATTTATCGAGCTCGAAAGACATTTCTCTTGATCTTTCTGCTCTATACGAATTTATTCGCCTGGTACCAAGTTTCTCGAACTCGACTAGTAATAACAAAATTCAAAATAAAAATACAAACGACGCGATGGTTCTTCAAATATTTGCATCTATATTTTAAGAGATATCAAAAGAAGTCTTTTATGGCCGTAATTATAGCCATGCATTTTTAGCTTCTAGTGCCGGTTACACCTCCACGAAAAATGGGAAATTCATAAAGGAAAGTACCCTATTATGAGATAGGCTCCTAATATGAGACAGCGGAGTTTCTACTAAATCAATTGACATCATTCGTTGATTCCACCATAAATGTATTGCCCTTTCAGTGAATTCTGTTTAGTGGTAAATTGATTGTTAGATAGTGTAATCGTTGCGAAAAATGATTTGTGACTGAATTTGGACGTTGAAAACCTATCTCAGATTAGAATCCTATCTCACAATATAGAGAACTTTCCTCTACATCTTCGTATAACAAATAACATAGTAAGAATTGTAACAAAAACTCGCCAAGTTGCATTTACTCTGGTCTCTAAAGGAATCACGACAGAATTAAGTTTGACACGCGTTACCCTTTCATCGTCTGTAAAACTACTTTCTCTCTTGGAAATCATTTTCACAATTTTGAAGTGCCAGCTTCAAAACGGGCGACATAAAGTTACTCCGCTTCAGTCCACGAAAGGCAGTTAGAAAGCGGTTAATCGGCAGGCCGCTTTTATCACATTCTGAACTTGATGTCAACTTGTATGTGGGGGGAAAAAAAGCGCAAACTTCCCGATACATGTTTCCAATCGATACGCCTGACAAAGAGGCACCCGCGTATGGTGTTCTTTTACATATGCATTTCGAGGAGAGGGTGCAGCGAATTCTCGCTCGTGCCGCGTGCGAATCTGTTTACGCACGTGCAGACAGGATTTCATTAATTGCTCGGCGCAGTCCGCCCATTCATTTTGACACGTGATCCCACGATGCTCTTCCCTGATATTCGTATACGTCACCATTAATTATAACATGCGCAAACACATCGATCAGTACGCGCGGATAACGAGCTCAGAGATATAATCACCAGCCTAGAGATATAATCACCGGTGAATTATCGTAATTCCAACGCTAATAACAATTGTTCTTAATGAGCGTGTTTAATATCCGTTTCGTTACAATGTAAAATATCAGGCTAATCGTAAGGCTCTGGCGAGAATAACGAAGTAGTTCAGGACGGACTTTAAGTTTTAATACAAATCGTTAAAAAATGTATTAACCTATTGAAGCCAACTTCCTTAATTGAGATTGAAACGCTCGTTGTCTCGCACCAATAAATTTATATTGAGAAAATATAGCGCTGCGAATAAATTAATGAAATATGAAGTACGTGATACGTACGGATCTTGATAAGCACCAGGTTAAAACGAAAATATTTCGTCAATCAACGCGGCATGTAGTAGAATTTTCAAAAATGTTGAAAAGTAACATTACTTCGGGACGACCGGGACCGAGTTCAGTTCGAACTTTTATAATGCTCGAACGTGCTCACTTAAGTTAAAATAATTTTCCTGAAGATTTCCTTCTTTGACAGTGATTTGTGAGTCTACTATAATTTATGCTCCGCAAACATCTATGCGCAAGTTCTTTTACTTGATAAGGACCTGATACTTGGAGTCGAAACGTCGTACCAATGTAGCATTCAATTAATTATATTGCCAGTTGGATCAACAAGAAGCTTTGTTTCAATTTTTATTCATCACTGGCAGCTTTAAGTACACAGTTGGAAAATTCGTGTTTTCTTGTTCAAAACAATGCCGGTTAAAATTTTCGTGTTAAATGTTTAACACATTCGTGTGTGAATTTAACATGTTGCTCTTGTGTTAATTGACCTCAAATATAAAATTATTTAAATAACTGAAAAGAAATGTTAAAACAATACAATGTGTACTATATTTTTTAATCTTACACAATATATATGTTCTACTCGTATATTATTAGTAAAAGGATTTATCTATTAAAATTTACAGAATAAAATGTTGATTCTATTCTATATAACATAAGTGAGAATGATTTCGAGCCGTCATTTGACTTATTACATCTGTAAAATGTAAAAATTACATTTTTCAAAATTTTGTCATTAAAAATATGTTAATTTTACAGAAAATTTATTTTAAATTATTTTAAGATTTGCATTTATTTTGTGTTACAATATTAACAGAGTATTAGTGTGATCATTGAACATATCCGTCTTATGTTAAATTAACACAAAAATTTGTGTGGACCGTTTGGGACATGCGTTAAATTTAACACCAATTTTTCAACCGTGCACACTCCTCTACTTTGGTTAACATTACTTCTCTATACATACTGATACCGGGGAAATTAAGCAACGGTTAATTAGAAAAGATCCCATATGATTATGCACAAAGTATGGCGCGGAGACGGTAATGAGTATATTCATTTGCGGACTGATAGACGATTATGCCCAGAGAAATTTATACTTTCGTGTAATCGACTGGCGGCAACTCATCCGCGAATCGTAATAAGTCTCATCTAACGCACGGGCTAATGATTAATTAATTTTAGACAATCGTTAACAGAGCATCGCGCCGTAAATTCTGGTTGAACCGTCAGATAACGCAGAAAAGTTACGTGCAACGCGTACGAAGTCGCGTAGGATTACAACTGCTTAGCATGTCGCGACGTGCGATGGATGCATGAAGATCACTGTTAATCTGTGCTGCGAGCGCATTTTTCTTCGCAGATATCTGATTCCAGTATAGTACATACGCAACTCTCGCCGTCTACGGCGGCTCATTAATTTTCTCTCACGCTATTCGAGAAAGAAACCAGTACAGGAGATCCGAACTGCCGTCTTGCCCTTGAATCGATCACGTTGACGAGCGCGACACGATGCAACGGGAACAGGAATCCGATCGGTATTTCAACGTCGGAACCTGTGAATTACCGCGTGACACCCGACGCGGCGGCAAAAAGGGAGACGTATCCCGCATTAATCTACCATTATCATCAAATCCATCTCACGTACCCCGAGACATGTAACTGTATATTGCACATACGCGACGTATTGATTTCAGCGCATTATAACGGACTTCGTGTACATTCCGTATGTGATTGGCTGATGTGCCCATATATCTCGTTAATCTTATGTCCGGTGAGGGTAAAAATACCAAGAAACTCAAACGAGGACTCAATTTCGGAATATTTTTAACCGATTTTCAAAATTTGGTGTAAAAACTCGGTACGAAACATCTGAATGGCTTTTTACACGGAATAAATTTGAAGGAATAGTATTTTCAGAACTTTGTAGACGCTCCAAGAAGATAAAGAACGTACGTAAAAGCTTTTATAGGGGACGATAAAATAATCGTTAACACCATACGCTCGCTGTGTCCACTTTTATAAAGAAAAAAAGAGGCCCGGTGCGAACAATGTAATAGCGGCGTGTTGATGGTCCCTTTTTGTTAAAATAACACTATCTCGCGTTCCTCGATTGGGCTAACGAGCCGCTTAAGTGCAATTCCCTCGGTGGCGCTCGGATTATACGAGCCACTTTCATCGCAACTATGCGCCATTGTGTGCATGCGTGCGAGCATTACAT